GAGTTCGGCGATATCGGGGAACCACCAGTAGGCACAATTTCTCCGGACAGGTCTCCCAGCCCTAGGAGCCGCAAAATCACAAGCCCTCCTCAAGACACGGTCAAACCAGCAAGCGAAAGACTCCGCAGACATAGAATCGTCTTCGGCAGGACCCGCAACATCGTCCCACTCCAAGACGTTGGAAAGCGCCCTCACATCCATGCGGTGGTAATTCCAACGCGGATGCGGATCAACGGAGCATGTTTCGAAGGGTCCAGAACATAGACCAACCACGTCATATGTAATTATGGAATGATCGGATAGTGACTTCATATCAGCGTTGATCGACCAGTCCACCAAACGCTTCAAGAGATCGGCGGTCGTCCACGTAAGATCAACAACAGACGATACACGCGGGTTAATGCAGGTAGGCGTTACATCCACGTTAATAAGGCGAAGGTCTTTTTCGGCCGCCCACTCCTCGACAAGAGTGCCCCTCCAATTAGTAGCTACCGGGTCCCAAGATGCTGAACGTGCATTAAAATCACCACCGATTAAGGTGCTCCTGCCACCAACTTCGCCCACCACATCCCCGAGTTCATCTAAGAACTCAAGGTATCGATTTCTAGTGGAGTTAGGTGAGACGTAACATGAGACCACAAGATCACCGAATCTGACCGCGACGATGTCACGTCCTCGCCTAATCAAAGTGCAACTCAGGGGTACAACCGGGTTCCGAACAATAATGGCTGCCAGACCGCTACCGCTGGCGAACCAATCGCACACATCCTGGCGTCGTCTAGGAGGTTCCGACACAATCCCGATCACAGAGGCGCCCTCATCCATATGCTGGACCATAAGATCGAAGGCAGGCCAACTCCGATTTACGTTCAGTTGGATAACCTTAAATGCCATGATCAGGTGCTGGGTTGACACCAGTCCTCCAGCTCGGCACTGCCATTACGTCCTTACCACCAATAGCTCCACACGCTGCAGTACCCATACGATGGTCAGCGGATTTCCCTCCAGAGGCACAAACCACGCAGTGAGGACTAGCAGTGCAGTTTCGCGCAGAATGTCCGGCATCACTACAGCGAAAGCATGCGCCAGTCCTATCAACCTCAGACTTACAGACGTGACGCATGTGCCCAAATTGCCAACATTTAAAGCACTGCCGAGGGCGGACACGGAGAAGCTCAACCCTCGCAGTCCTCCACCCAATGCGTAACCTCCCAGACGCAGCCACCTTGACCGCCGCAGTGAGCGGACACTGGACCCAAATGGACCCAAGTCTATTGGCCATGCTCCTAATAGGTCCTGTCTTAACTTCATTCAGCCGGCAACCTCCAATTTCAGATAGGGTGCAGGCAACCTCGTCTACGTACACCGAATCATCCAGACCCCACAATCGGAGCTCTCCCTTAACCACAGATCTAGAGACAATGGCATCTACACGAAGGACCTCCTCCAATTTTGCGGCGAGCGAGTCCGCCTTCTCTGCTCAGTCAGCACCCGAGACCTCAATCAGCATGGTGCCGTTAGCTGCCCGACGTATTCGAGTAGCCTCAATTCCCAAACCATCCAATTGTATACGCTCGCGGGCCTTCCTCAAGAGAACGGCATACAAGCGACCATCGCCGACAGACCTGATATTCACCGCTGCAGTTCTCGGAATCCTCCTCATCTTACGAACCGTCGGTCTCTGACCACGCATGGGCGGATCAGCCACCTCACCTACCGAACGGCTCGCAAGTACTCCAGCATAGGAATCACTCCTCTTGCTGAACAACCGTTCCTTGTGTTGGGCGCGGGACTCTACAGCCGACGCGCCCATCTGAGTTGCAACAGAAAGTCGTTGCACACGCTGCTGCGGAGCAGATTCACCAATTGGCACCTAAACACTACGCAGCCTTCTCCTCCGAGACCTACCAGATCTCCCAACCATGACCCCCCTGCCAATCCTGACAACCATCCCATGGCACCACGCAGGGCAAGTCGGCCCCCGACGTGTCACCAACAGCCGAATTACCGGGCGGAGCATCTGTAACCATACGACCCAGCACAGTCCCCTCCGAATCCAGCCCATGAGGAACAAGCCGAATGTTCTTAGTAAACCGAACATTCTCAGTCACTATAGGCTGTGACCGCTTCTCCGTTAGTTATACGCGAGAATACGGCCAAAACTTCGTCTCCGCCGTTGCGGCGACGGCCGAGCTTGCCGGCAGCTCTAAAAAAAAAATCTAACTCGGTAGAGCGGCGGGGTTCTTGTGTCGACGCGCGACCTTCCTTCGCACGACACGAGAGGAACAGGCGACAGAGTCGGAGGAATCACGAATAAACACACATATCGTTTAACATTACGCTATATTTAACAAAAAAAAACAACAAAGAATGATACTACAAAGACGCTATGCGGGATCCGAGTCGCGTAGTCGCGAAATCATTTGGAAGCCGGATCCGTAGTCGAGGATCCTTCTGCTTCGCGGAGTTCGAACGGCACAAGGCTCGCGAAATTCTCTCGTTACACGCTGTTGTGCCCTCAATTATGATAAGCACAACCGGTAATTGGGATTCCGGTGCCGACGTGCAAACGGTTAGGATAGTAGGGGAAACTTATAATCTTGAGGAGTTTTTATAATAAAAATGTATTATTGAACTTGTCTTCTTACAGTTTCCGATCACGTTCTATTACACTTCACATAGATACGTTTTAACTTATCCTTTACCGAGTAAGTTAATGTTATTATAATGCGAAACACTCGTATTACTCCCGAGTCAGCGGTCTCTCACTTGAGATATGTAACGTACGCCTCTATACTGGTCAGTATCTCTCTCTCTCGAGTAGGTGGTCCAACTCTTTATATATCATTCATGAAATTAGGGAATTAGGTTACCGACCTAATTACCTAACAGTTCAAAAGTGTAACGTGATGTTTCTGCAGCGCGTGCACTTTTGATTTATTTGCCGTATTTCGCAATGTTCGTTTATGCAATACATGCATTTTGGCTGAAACGTCTTTTAGCGTTTCATCATGTTTTGTCCTACATAACAACGCTAATTATTGCATTGGGCGCCAGCCGGGTGCATCCCGGCCCTAATTGTCTCGTCGCGAACCGCGTATTTCTCGCCATTCACGGAGACCCGCACTTTCTACGAATGATCGCGAGTCATCATAATTTTTACGCAATCGCTCGCCGTACTGTGCGGTCGCGACACGGTGAAGCGGCAGCAGGCAGCGCGGTAAAGACGGCTATTCCCTCGCGAGGTTGGACGGTTCGTCAAGGATGGAGACGAACCCTTCCGGCTGCCGTCGTGAAGCGACGGCAACCATCTCGGTCTTTCGGCGCTCGGACTGAACGACAGGCAGAAGACAGCTCACCAAAAATCCCTCGCTGGGCTCGCCCCTCGTTCCTTGTCCGATATCTCGCTCGTTCTACGGCTCGTCCGCTCGCTTGCGGTGTCGTTCGCTCACCTGCTGGTCGTTCGCTCGCTCGCAGGATTGTCACAGCTCTCGCGTCGCTCGCTGTTCGCACAGTGTCGAGTCTTTCCACGAGCGCGAGGCTCCTTAGCTCGCGGTATCAGCCGCCGATCGCCGCTAGGTCCCATTGGTCCTGCGGGAACGCACGGCTCTAGCGTGGGCGCCTTACAGGGCCCACGCGACACCGCCAAATCCTCTGATTCCGTGTCAGCGGAATCCTGCGCCTGACGTCAGCTCTAACTGGCGTGGGCGCTCAGATGGCTGCCGGAAGCTTGAGGTATCCCAGGGCGTCCCCCGGGATCTGGTCCTTAACGTTAGCCCTTTCTGGCGCCCCGCGGCAAGCTAGTCGGGGTCACATCGCTTGTGATAGCGAGGGGTGGATCCTGCCCCGCTTGGCTTGTCGTCCGCTGCAGGTCCGCCGTCGCCTCGCTCCGATCGCTGCACTTCGTCGTTCTCGTCGCGGCCCGAGCACACAATTAAACAAACGAAAATAACAAAAAATTATAATAACACGATCTCGCACGCTTTTGCGTGCGAGACCAATTCTTCGCAGCCGCCCTTCTCGCGGAAGAAGGGGGCGCGAGCACAGCTCTCCTCGTCTCCCGGCTAATCGGCCGGCGAAATCGCCACGTCACAAGGCTTTCTAGAATCCTCAGAAGGGTTGCAAATGACCAACCAACGGATCAACAGCGCCTGCATCCTCCATCTTACCCGCACGTCGCAGATCCTTACGGGCCTTCACAAGTTCCGCAATCTGGCGGGAAAGCTCCACCTCCCGCTTGGACCTCTCTGATACAGAGTCAGCTCTCGGAGAGGACTCAGAAATAACTGCGGAAACTCCGCGCAAGGGAGGCCTTCGCACCGGTAAAGACTCTCCGGAAACAGGCAGGGCCTCACGTTTGCTCCCCCGGCGAGATCGTTGCGCAGAGCGACTCATCTCCGCAGGCTGAGAATGGGCCAAAGGTACAGCCGAATCCGCACAAGCCGCCCCCGTCAACCCCACAACAGGCGTCGCTCCACTATGCAGTCGCTCCTTGCTCCTCTGGACCTGAGGATCCATTCGACCCTCCAAGTCTCTGATCTTTCTCAAGGATTCCTCCAGGTCTGCCTTCATCCGTGTGTTATCCTTACGTAAATTGGACAACTGGGAGGTGAGCTCCGAAACCCGCATTCGGAGATAAGCCGGGTCCCCGAGGCCTCGGCCTTGGTTGCAAGAGCCTGTCCCATTTCTCTCAACTTGCCCAACTGCATCTTCATGCGGCCGCTAACCTTACCGCTGATGTTAGCAGACTTACTGCGGAGCATGTCCACCTCCTCAATGAGATCCAAACCCGCCACCGCCAAAGATGCAGCAGGCGCAGACGCCATGTCCAGCCACCCAGACTCTATCATGCCGGTAACAGTCATGACCTCCTCGGTATCCGCTCTAGGTTCAGTAGTGGCCACTTTCTCCGTCTTCTTCCTCTTTCTCTCGTGCTTGGAAGCAATCAGTTTCCTCCTGGCTTTGGTCTTAGCCTTCGTCTTTT